GCACTGCCTGATGTGGCTGATGGCTGGCCCAAGGCTGGCCGACTGGAAGACTAACTTCTACCCGGCGCCTTCGGCTGCCCGAGCCTCAGTCGGACACTGAGTGAAAGGGCAGGTCATAACAATCACCACTGTACTTCACAACCACGGCTGAACTTTGGCCTGACCCCGGGCCGGTGACACCAAGGTCACAGGAAATGGCTATTGGTGAATGGTGTGCCATTCGCCGCATTGGACACTTCCTCGCGAGGTGATTTCAGCTCGGCGAGCTGTCCAGGAGCTGACGAATGCGAGCGCGCCGCCGTTAGTGAATTATCCGACCAGAGCACGGAGCACGCGCTAAAAACACGGCCGGGTGAAAGTGCTCCGACAGAGCTGCGGCTCCTCTCTCACGCACACCGTGATACCGTGTGCGGCGCGTGACCAACTGTTGTTTATAGTGCGTATCAGTCGTGTCCAACGCGCCACGGCGGCCGCAATCGTGAGCTGGCGACACCACTTTCAGTGGCATTTTTCTTCATTTAGCGCTCCTGGTTTCTGTTTACCAATCAAAATTCCTGACGTGAAAGCGCGGCGGGTGATTTGGCTCACCACTGTTGTGGCTCATTTCCAGAGCGCTAACAGCGTCTGACTCCACTGCGGCCGGTAAAAGTCTCGTTGTCGGTAATTTATTGGGTCCGGGACGCGGTGGTGACATTCTCCGGGCAGAGCGCGGCGCTGAGGACAGAGGGGGAGGGGAGGAGGACCGGAACCCGGCCGGGATGGCCACTTGACGGCCGTGTCCTGACCAGTGTCCGGCGTGTGAAAATACCCCACCGCGCAGAGCGGTAAATCTCAGGTGAATATCTCTGGCAATACCACGGGAAAGGCGGTAGATCTATTGACGGAACGCTTAAACCATTCCGTACTGGGGGAGAGAGAGAGAGAGAGAGAGAGAGAGAGAGAGAGAGAGAGAGAGAGAGAGAGAGAGAGAGAGAGAGAGAGAGAGAGAGAGAGAGAGAGAAAGAGAGAGAGAGAGAGAGAGGGAGAGAGGGAGAGAGAAACAGACAGATAGACAGACAGACAGACAGACAGACAGACAGAGACAGAGACAGAATTGCAAAATAACGGTGAATAATCATGAATACAATTTTGAGAAATAAAGTGTGACATTATTATCCTGTGTTATATGTAAATAATCTTTATGCATCCCACAGAAAGCCCACATGCAAGCAAACGGTAAACAATAACATTGTATTTGCCTTTTGGGCCATTATTTATTTAAACTGCGCTTACGTTTTCACATAAATGGGTAGGTACTATTTGTACGATTAATTGTCAATTTAACAACCATTTAATAATCTATGTACCTTGACAGAACAATTCGCAATTGATCAGAATGCTCATGAAAGTAACCAAAATAACTCGAGCTAATCTATAAATGCGTTTATTGTGATCCCGTTCCTTCAACGTCTCTAGAATGTGTTCCTTTCAGTGAATTACACGACTTTTCGAGTAGCATTTGTTCCAGCCGTCTCACCAGAATGTTCATTGTTTTTTTTCTATCGGGGGCAGCGTCACCGGCCATTGCTGGCCTGTGTCTGGGATAGACCCATCCTGACATACGGCTCAGTCGGTGCCAATAGCAGTGTCCAAACGGAGCGCCCAGTCGACGCCCAGTCGGCACCCGGCGCTCCGCGCCCACATTCCGATCGCCGCGAAATTGACACATTCGACATAGTTGAAACTGGAATTGGATTAAATTTACATTCGCCTGGCGCGAAAACAATAGCCGAGTCAAATAACGCGGAATTAATGGCGCAAAATTGAGACAGTGGGGAAGGGTGTTCCGCAGGGAGAAAGTCGGCCGGGAAATGGCACTGTGAATTTATTCTGTTCCGCCCCATAGTTCACACATTCCACAATGAATATACGAGTTGATTGAAAGACCAACCTTTCCAACCCTCCATTATCGATCACGAGAAAGAGGCAGATGTTTTCTGAAGAGTGAGTCGTGCTTTTGATTAAACAAACGGCGCAGTTTCGATAGTGTCCCGCGGACGGCCGCGCTGTTGGCGCGTGTCGGCGGCGGCGGCGGCGGCGTGTGCCGGCCGAGGCCCCTGCTAGGTGGTCGCTGTCCGTGAGGCTCGACTGCCCTCCGACCACCTGGGGGAAGGCGGGCTGAGGGACCAGTCACCTGAAGGCACGGTCACCGGGGGGGGGGGGGGCTGAGGACCCGGTCAGTACCCCCAGGGTGGACTGAGGGCACGGTGATTTCGCATGTTTCACGCCTCATGGGCTTTTGGCCCCAGCACACAGCTTTTCCGCCACTGGGCACAGACACAGAGCTGTCCACTTCGTCGAATGGGACACGCTGCTTCGATGAAAAGTCGGATATTTACACTTCTTGGTTAAATTGTATTATACCTATATGACTGATAAAAGCCTCACCGCCTCTCCGATGCGGCCGCCCGCCCTGCTGGCCGCTCGGCGGTGGGCGGCGGCGGGCGGCGGCGGGCGGCGGCTACCGCGGCGGGACCACCAGCGACCAGTGGCGTCCGCCGGCCGACCCACGTCGCCAGTGCGCCGTTTTTGCCGCCGCGTGCAGGGCGGTCGGCGGATCACGACTGGCAGGGGCGGCCCCGACCGGGCCGGAGCCGGGCCGGAGTCGGGCCACAGTCGCCCCGCCGCAGCGCGATTTATGAACGCGATGAAGCTGCATGAAGGGTGTTTAATTGATTCTGCGCCCGGATGGGCGTTAATCGGCACATCAGCGACCGGGCGTCCGGCGGTATCGAGATGTGGGCGAGTGACTGGTGCCAACTGGTGCCGACTGGTGCCAACTGGTGCCAACTGGTGCCGACTGGTACCGACTGGTGCTGCAGTATTCGACTGTGAAGCTCAGCCAGTCCTATGCTATTTTGTATCGGTTGATTTGGTTGATTACGCTCACCTCGGGTCCGAGTCAGACCAACCAGTCCAACACTATCAATACAACCAGTACCAGCGCCAGTGAAACTCGGGTCGGCTGGGCGGTACGGTGTGCGGGTGTACTGCTCGGGAGTCTCCACTGATCAGCCCTCTCCGCAGACCTGAACTCACTCAGCCTCTCTCCCTCTCTCTCCCCTCTCTCCAACTCTCCCTCTCTGTCGGACGACCCCGCACCGGTGACACTATCAGATTGACACCGACAGTTAATAAACGGCGGCGTATCGACGGCGCAGTCCCAGCGCCCCTTCCCGCGGCGGTCCGCGCGTCCGACCGCTCCGAGCACGTATCGGTCTCCCGCCGCCGCCGTCTGCCTGCTCTCCCCCGACTCCGTGTCGCGTGGTCAGGTCGCCGCAGCCCCCAACACCCGGTGGCGTTGGGTCGTCGCTGTCGGCGCCGGCGACCGTCGGGTCGGCGCGCGAGGCGCCACGAGCGACCGACGGCCCCGACGCACGCAACATCGACCGTGCGGCAGCGGCAGCGGCGGCGGTCGGCGGAAGTCACCATCGCGCCGGGCCCCGCCCGGCTGGTGCCGCCGCCCCTGGTGCTGGTGCACGATGAGTTCATTAGCGCCCGGCGGCGGCGGCCAAACGCCGGCCACTGCTGAGCCGGGGCTCCGTGGGTGTCGGCCAGACGGTACACCACTAACGCCCACCGTCACCGTCACAGGGCCGGACCGAGCGGTCCTCAATGGGGACCACCCCCGGCGCCCCGACAGCGGCTCCCACGGATCGGTTACCGGTGACAGACAGCCGTCACCCGGCGTGGGAATCCCTCCCGGCCGCCTGTGTAACGGCCCGGCCAGAGGACCGCACTGGCCCCGTCCCCGACCGGCATACCAGCCGGGCCGTCCACTGCCGTCCGAGGCGCATAGCTGGCCGCCGGGCCGGGCCGTGGCTCTAGGCCGGTGCTGTGGGCCGGTGCTGTGGGCCGTGGCTCTAGGCCGGTGCTGTGGGCCGGTGCTGTGGGCCGTGGCTCTAGGCCGGTGCTGTGGGTCGGTACTGTGGGCCGTGGCTCTAGGCCGGTGCTGTGGGCCGTGGCTCTAGGCCGGTACTGTGGGCCGGTGCTGTGGGCCGTGTCTGTGGGCCGGTACTGTGGGCTGTGCTGTGGGCCGGTGCTGTGGGCCGTGGCTCTAGGCCGGTGCTGTGGGCCGGTACTGTGGGCCGGTGCTGTGGGCCGTGTCTGTGAGCCGGCGCGCCGTCCACCGTCCGCCGCCTCTGAGCGGCTCACACGGCACACTCTGAGCCGCCACCTGCACGGCCGCGGAGTTGGAGCTGCGCGGCCCAGCTCGGCCGTCAACTGCCGCGCGTTCAGCTCTCCTCGGGGAGAGCCGAACCCTCCGCCCGGGGTCCGCCCGAGCTCCGCCCGAGGTCTGTCCGAGGTCCGTCCGAGCTCCGTCCGAGGTCCGTCCGAGGTCCGTCCGAGCTCCGTCCGAGGTCCGCCGGTGCGGCGGGCGCGCGCCGCGCCGGTCCGGCCGGCTATTACACGGCTGGGCGCGCAGTAAAAACAGCCGCCGCCGCCGCCTCTGTGGTCTCCGCACAGACGAACGGACCACACAACAGCAACAGCCAGATTACAAAACAGCCCGACTAAGCCGACCGCGATTCCATTTCACACCGGATGGGATTAAGACGTCGGCGCTGGCAGCTCGGACGCGCTGCGGAGGCCCGACTGCAGCGGTCGAGGTCGGCCGGCAGACTCGGTGACGGGGAGGGGGGGGGGGGGTGTTTAGATCCGGTAATGGGCCGTTTTTTGCCGAGCGGCGGCCCCATAAAGGCCGGGTTGACACGGCCACCGCGGCAGATTGTCACCGTGGAATGTGAACGGATGACACCAGATCGGGAGCGGAATGCGGCGCGGCGCGCGGCCGGTGACCGTCCACTCGGAGCGTCACCGGTAAAAACACACCTCTGCCACTGCCTGAATACATTTCCGAGCGTGCCTCATACGAATACGAACGAGCGTGCCGTGAATCCCCCACGGACCGTCTCCACCGGTGAGCCAGCGTCCCTCTAACGCGCGCCATCTCTCCGCAGGCCCGCGGTCACGGCGCACCAAGAAGCCCAAGTCGTCGGACGAGAAGCGGCCGCGGACGGCCTTCACTACCGAGCAGCTGGACCGGCTGAAGCGAGAGTTCGACGAGAACCGCTACCTCTCGGAGAAGCGCCGCCAGGACCTGGCCCAGCAGCTCGGCCTCAACGAGTCCCAGATCAAGATCTGGTTCCAGAACAAGCGCGCCAAGATCAAGAAGAGCTCCGGCCAGAAGCCGGTGCTGGCGACACGTCTGATGGCACAGGGTCTGTACAACCACGCCACTATCGCGGCTGAGGAGGAGGAGGAAATTCTGAAAATGTGCAAAACTAGCCTATAAACAACGTAAGTAGTCGCAGCAGGGGATAAACGGGACCCGGGCGGGTGTTTTGCATTGTTCCTAGCTCTGCCGTGATCTGAATTTCCTCTGAAGCCTATTGCTTTAGCGCCAGCTGTTTAAATGTTCCTTCAATTACCTTCAATTTGTATAATAGCGTGTCCCGTGGGGCACACCGACTGCGCACCATAATTCCTGGGCCGGCTCATAAATTAGGCTAGAGTAAACACCGTGTAACTTACACGAAATCCCAGTGTCTTAAATTAAAGCAATAAAGCTTGCTGACGACATGGGCACAATGACTGTGCAGATGGCGTAATGACGGCACGCTGCCTGTGGCCGCCGAGCGCTGTCCGCGGCCCCGGCGGGCGATCCGTCTTGACCCTGTCAGGGCGCGAAAGAGCCCTGGGTCCGGCGCGCAGGGTCGGCCGACACCCGCGGGCCCCGCACTGCGCCACAGGGCCCGAGGGCTCAGCCCCGGGGCCCGGACCGCGCGGCAGTCGGTGTGACCGTCACGACTGAGGGCGCCGGTGTGACCGCCTCTCTGACGCCTCTGCTCTCCCGTTCGCAGGCTGCCGTGCTGGCGTTTCGGGCTGCTAGCCGGGTCTACCAAAGACATCTTATCTGTGATAGTGCCGCTGTCCGGCGGTCTCAGCCGGTCCCACAGTCCACCGACAGGAGCTGGGACGGACGCCGGTCTCGGGTGTTCCGGGGGTGTCGTCCGAACCTGACGGGCCGCTCCGCGGTCACTGTCAGTCACCGCCCCCCTGCTCGGCTCAGCTGCCGGCGCAGGGGCGACCCTCGGCGCCCCCGCTGCGCCCCAGTGGCTCTGAATGAGCTAATGAAGACGGGTGCGGTGGCGGCCACTCACTGGACGATCTCGGAGCGGCGGGACACTTCCGGTGTCAGCGGCGGTCGACTGTACGCCGCCGCGGGGCGCCGTCGTATTCTGCAGCGGGGACGGGTCGACCCGCCGCCGTGTATTTATTGCGGACCGCGCCGGTTGCCGCCAGCATGAGTCGCAGCAGGCTGGTGCGATGTTGTTACCTTTCGTAGGGTGTGTCTAGATTTGAATTTGATGAAATGCTTGCTAGATTTGATGCTATCCCGTCCTACTAAAAATTGCATTTGTTGCTTCATATTTTGGGCTTCACGAGATCGTCAATTTTGGAATAGCAGCTTTTTTTCTCAGTTTGACATGTAGCGCGTTTCAGTTCGGCCTGTGTATGTATAAATCGCCGGTGCCTAGCCATTTTGACTCAGTCCTCGTTTTGTTTGTCTGAGCTGTTATCGCAGTGAATGTTCCTAGGCCGCAGTCGGCACCGGGCAGCGCGCCGTAGTGTGGGCGGCTCATTAGTACATAGAAACCCGCCATCCTCACCGGCGTGACAGAGCGTGAGAGCGAGAGAGAGAGAGAGAGAGAGAGAGAGAGAGAGAGAGAGGGGGGGGGAGACAGAGGACGAGCGCCAGTGCGTGCATTGTACAACTCACCTGCAGCGGCCGACTAGTGATATATGATGCCAGAATGACTATCAGAGCCATAGCGCTATCGTTTATGTTCGCGTTACAACCTTTAATGCGTGTGTACATGTTTTGTGTCGGTTCAATACATCATGTGTTGTGAGAGCGTGTGTTGGCCATCGTGGACGGTCCGACGACACGCCAGGTGCCCGAGCTCGCGGGAGCGGTGACACACTGAACGTCCCCCCGTCCAACAGATAGGTACAGATGTACCCCCAGATGAACAAAGGTGTAGTAGTAGCCGTTTTCACGACGGGCTATCCGGCGAGTGCACCTAATTTGCCCAAATCTGCACCTAATCTCTTTTACAGCAAATATCTTTATTTCATGAATTTATTTCAGTGTTTTATAACCGATGATGCTCTCTGATAATTATATGACTAAGCAGGCATATAAGCAATTAGTACAACCCTATATATGCTAATAGCTACCAAGAGACACACTGAACCTAATTTGACCAAATCTACACCTAATCTGCAACAGATGTGAACGAAAAGTGTACCAGATGGCCGTCGTGAAAACGGCTAGTACCTTCCCAGAGAGATGCGTTCAACTATGTACTGCAAAATGTCCCTAGCATGAGCAAATGTCTACCGTCTCAAACGGCACGCCACAACATAACGCCCAGAGGCGCCCATACCGGCTCGGTGTGCTGAGGTGGAGCCAGTCTGTCCCCGCGGCGCCGACGCCGGCACCCCGCCGTCCGCCGGGCGCGGTGGTGCTGCAGTGCCGCCGCGGAGGGTACATTCCTCCGATCAGCGCCGATCAAAACAGTGGCATTCCGCACCGGTCTGACGGCGGCTGTTGCAAACAGCGGGCGCCCCGCCGCGGGCGCGGCGTTAGTGTCCGCCTGACGGACTCTGCCGGCCGCCCGCTGGCCGTGTACACCCGTCCGGTGTGTCTGTCTGTGAGTGTACGTCCGCCTGACGGACTCTGCCGGCCGCCCGCTGACCGGGTACACCCGTCCGGTGTGTCTGTCTGTGTGTTCCTCCGGCTGACGGACTCTGCCGGCCGGCCGCTGGCGCGGCCTCCTTCCGGACGGACGTAGGTACATACACAGACAGATACACCTAGGACAGTGGTACACGGACAGACCTTACGGGCGTGGACACACAGACAGATGCACACCGGACGGGTGTAGGTACACGGACACACACCGGACGGGCGCATATACACAGACAGATACACCAAGGACAGGGGCACACGGACACAGACACGGAACGGGCGTATATATGTTACACAGACATATACACCTAGGACGGGTGTACACGGACACCTTGCAGGCGTGCACACACAAACAGATACACCTAAGGACAGGGGCACACGGACACACACACCGGACGGGCGTATGTACACAGACAGATACACCTAGGACAGGGGCACACGGACATGAACACCGGACGGGCGTATTTACACAGACAGATACACCTAGGACAGGGGTACACGCAGACAGACACCCCCACTGAGAAAACAGTGTCCCGATTTTCGGGCTCAGAGACCAGTTTTCGGGCTAATGTACCATATTCAAAACAGACAGCACATTTCGAGAATACTTTCTGAGCAACGCCACATGGGCTCATACGATCCCTTAAATCGGTATCATTGATCGCAGAAACAGAGCTCAGTCAGTACCCATTATCGGTGTCAAGCTCTAAAACTAGGCTCACTATGATACCAGTTTTCAGCCTGATCCCCATTTTCGAGCTCACCTGATTCCAGTTTGAGGGCTCAAATTGTGTGGTGAAGCCAATATTAGGGCTCACGTCATCGCTTTTCGGGGCTTTGGTAAAAGCTGGATTGCGTCAGCTGGCTGGCCAGCTGGCGACGCACGAAAGGTATTTAATTTTAGATATACCTAAGCGCGGTAGTAGGATGGACATAAATATTTCAAATGGCTTTAAATGAAAAATTGATTGGTAAATATTTATTCTTTTATATCTAGCATTGATATGTAAGAAGCTCTGCTAGCGCCACCATACGGCGCCAGCTGGCAAAAAAAAATCCAGTTAATACCAGAGCCCGCTTTTCGTCCGATGCAGCCCCTCCTCCCCCCTCCCCCGTGTCCAGCAGCTGCGAATAAGACGAAGCCGCGGACAAACTTTTTTTTTGCTCGACCAGCCTAGCGCCAGTCTCGAGCGGTGGGACAGTTAACCCGGCAATTTTGGCCGGGATGCAAAAGTTACGTTAAACCGGTTTATGTTAACCCGGGAGCAAATAACAACGTGGGAGCCTATCTTAGGTGTGGCAAAGCTAACGGATTACTTACTTGTTGCCGAGGTGCCCAAAGAAGGTACTGGAACCGAAAACACAACATTGGTTCATGTATTTATTAACATTCATACACACAGTCATACTTGTGCAAGGTGTCAGTGTTCGGTTGTGGGGTGTAATAGCCAGGGAAAAAGTTCTATGAACTGAAAAACCCGGCGCCTATTACTTCGCAACATGGTTGTGTATTCAACATGAACTGCAAGGAGTGCAGACGACATTGCCTGTGCTAACTTAACGTCTCACGAGCAGCGCCGCGCTCTGACACCTTGGTCCCAGAAGCAGCGGCGTTTCTGACCGCAAATCGCCGGAGAGCCGGTCGACGCCGTTGAGGGGACTGAGCAGGCCGCTGCCAGCTCCACCTTCACGTCCGCGCGGCGCAGCTCGGTGTGCGGCGGCGGCTCATCGCGCGGGCCGCACCCGTCCGTCCGCTGCACGAGCCGCTTTTCGATCCGACAGCGCAACACCGGCACGCCATTGTGCTGGCTGAGCGGCGGCAGCGGCACGTAGGCAACAAAACAGTAGAAATCGATGGGCCTGGATCGGCGTTGCCAGCAACGCCGGCAGCGGCGCGGCGGGAGGCGCCAGTGCCGCCGTCGGGGACGTGTGCCCTTCGCTGCGCTCATTCGAGTTGGCCGGCCGGCCGCGCGGCGTAGTCCTTTTGACACGGTGCGAGAAGAGCCGGATGAAGGTGGACTTTTTATTGGCGTTGCTGGTGCTCACGCCGCCGGCGTCCAGTTTGGGCGGCAAGTCCGAGTACCAGGAGTCGGACAAGTCCCGCGCGAACGCCGCCAGCCGGTCGTCGTCACTGCTGGCGGCGGCCCGCCGACGGCGCTGCCTCAGAATCGGACGAGTCGGTGGTACTGAGCACCTCGCGGGACGGGTAGCTGGGAGTGGGCCGGCCGCGGCCCCTGCCAGGCCGCGCCACCTTCACCGGCGCAGCCGCCTTCAAACTGCCCTTGCTGGGCGGCGGGTTGGTCGGCGGAGGCGGCAGCGGTGCCTCGACGTCAGTCCGAGTCGCTGTCACTGGGCGGCCGCCGCGGAGACGGCTTCTGTTTGACCCGCAGCCGGCCTGGGCCGGCTCGGCGCCCTCGGCCGGCGGCGCGCGCCGTTTCGAGCGTTTCACCTTTTCACTGTTACTCTCGCCTGGTCCTCAGCGTCGAGCGGCTCGGCGCTGTTCGGTTTCATGTGGCCCATGCTGCTGGGAAACTCGGGTGGGGACAGCTTTCTGACTGGAGTGCCGTCGAAGATGGAGGAGACGGGGGTGCTCGCAGAGTCCTTGCCCAATGCCCATGATAGAGCCGAGGCTCCACTGGACGCCCAGCTTAATCGGGCTATCGCCGCCCTCCTTCTATGGTGGATTCTTCGGCCCCCTACAGCCACTAGGGCCATCATATACTCCCAGATGGCGGCACATAGGGGATGAGGGGGGGGGGGGTGTGGGCCACTTGTCCACCTCGTGGCGTCGCCAGCGACGCCTGCGAGTCGGAGCAAATGATTATGGGGTCTTCCTCGAAGGACGGGTGCTTCAGGAGATGTTGCTTTGCCGTCTTGAGCGCCACCATCTCAGATCGGTAAATGGAGCAAATCCTCCCCGCCGCCTCCCGCAGTACCAATGTTGTACTGTCTGGGTGCTCGGTGAGGACCCCAGCGCCGCCTTCCTATTACTCCCCCGGTCGCAGACCCGTCGACCCAGGCCCACGTCGCACGCTGGGGGAGCGCTCCCAGGCACGCCTCCGCAGCACTCCTCCTCGCTGTCGCGGACGCCCCGATCGGCAGCAGGTCCAGGTGGACCGTGACGCCGTCTGTTGGCGTCTACGGGGGCAGTCTCGTGGATAAGCGCGCCTCGGCGGGCAGCGCCACTCCAGTGGTCCCACACCGCTCCCCCGCGCTCTCTCCAGCCGGTCACTGACTTCAGTCACGGTTGGGGGGGGGGGGGCTTCCGCCACGACGCGGCGGGTCCTCCGACAGGAGGGAGAGCGCCTTCGCCAGTAGGCGCGATGCCAGCGCATCCCTCCTCATCTCTCCATCGGCACGACGCCCGCCTCGGCCCTCACGGCGAGTCTTGGAGCATGGAAATCGGGCAGCCAGTGATGACTCATGCCACCATCAGCATCTCCGCCTCCAGGACGCCAAGATGTGTGGCCGCAGCCGCAGGCAGCCACGCCGACCCCGCTGCCCGCATGCCCAAGTAGTCTCGAATCGCTGACACCTCTCCTGAAACAAGAGTGGTGTCGTAAACTTAAACCCCTTGCTGGCGCCCGCCAGCCGCGACAACACCGCCACACCAATTTTTGTGACCCCGGAACTTCCGTCCCGAGCCTTATTTCACGGCACGATGCTACAGTGCGCTACACGTATTGTGGTATTCAGCTTCCATGGAAACATCAACTAATTTGGACGCTCAAACATGGGAGTCAGGAGTGGTTAAGGCCCAGAGCGTTCTGTCTGGTTTATAAAACCTTGGCCAGCAGATGTAAACGTGCTTTTTGTATAAGTGGCTTAATTTTGACGCAAAAGGGCACTTACCTTCGGCGCAAATAATGCAGAAATTTCAGCGCAAATTGGAAAATAGCTTGCGCCGAACTTCGGCGCATGACGGCTTCACGGGCGTCCGGCGTACCATATGGATGTTTTCCAGTTTGGGCTGCAGGTTTTAGCTCTAGGTTTTAGACTGTAGGTTTTGGATTGGGTTGGGCTGGGCTGGGCTGGGCTGGGCTGGTTGGGGTGGTTGGGTTGGGTTGGATTAGGTTAGGTAAGTTTAGGTTAGTTTAGTTTAGGATAGATATGAATACCTATTTTTTGTAAGTTGAATTACTTTTTTCATTTTGTAGC